TTTTGCATATTTAATACAACATTTTTTAAAAAAGCAAGAAATCAATTTCTTCTAGACACCTTAGGAGATGCAGAGACTGAAGTTTTCTGCCTCTCTTCCAACAGTCTTTTGGTGCTTTGCCAGTTCTGTATTAAACGGTACAACCTGATCTAATCAGAGAACTCCATCTGGTCAATTTCATAATGCTTGAGTTAGTTCCACCATGCACTAGAAAATGGCTGGGTTTCAACCTCTGTGTTTTTATCAGTAGTGTATATCTTCTTTTAGCAACGTCCCATGAATAAAATAATATAACTGTTATTCACATTATACCCAGCCATGGTCTATCTTAAAAGCAGACGGGTGAAAACAATACTCCACCGCATTTGAAGGGAAAACAATGCTTTAAAAAAGAGCTTTAATTAAAAAAATAAGATGGAAAGTTGGTATGCTACACGATAAAAATGCCGATTGGCCTCTAAACTATAGACCCCATAGGCGGTCTTAGAAAATAGAAATGATGCTTGGATATAGCCCACGCGCTGAAAAAAAAAAGAAAGAAAAAGTCCGACAATGTCCGAGAGCAATTTTATCCATTTTCCTTCCGATAATAGGATCTTTTTGATTGGCCATAACCACTGTTTTGTGAGATTGTCACAATATGCAAAGTATTCGGTATGCTCCCTGGTCCAACATGTTTGCCTACTCATGGTCTAATCATTTTCGGTGCTCATCGGTAAGGCATAGGTCCTATATTAAAAAGGGACCTTTTAGTAGATTTGAGAGGGTATACAGTATTGGGATGCTGGTGGTGATGCAATTTCTAGAGCTCTAATTCATTGTATATGTATGAATTTTGTGTGTGTGTGTGTACACACATACATATACATACATGCCTAAATAGTAATGTAACAGTCTGACTTCCTATATGCAAGCAGTTACATTCAGCATCAGCGAAGGTTGGAGTCTCTTATCATCACTGGATATGAAATTAGCTATGCCCTCTAGGTGTCCTGAACTTTCAAACATAACTGAACATAAAAAAGCTCTCCCCCATGGCTTGAACATCCCAGCTAAAAACCTGCTTTCTTGCCAAGTGAGTCAGAGCAGTTTGACATTGGAACCTATTACCAGAAAGGGCTTGGGAGCATTCAGACACAGCCCAGGCAGTCCTCTGTCTAGAGCAGTGTTTCTCAACCTTGGCAGCTTGAAGATGTGTGGACTTCAACTCCCAGAATTCCCCAGCCAGCAAGGGTTTGAAGAATTCTGGGAGTTGAAGTCCACACATCTTCAAGCTGCCAAGGTTGAGAAACACTGCTCTAGAGTGCTTTAACTGGATTTCTGCAAGGGACAGGGAGTTGGATTTGAGTTTACATGGGCCTGTTCAAGACTCTGATTCTATGATTCTTTTGAGTGCCATTGAGTCAGCTTTGTCTCCTGATCACATATACTGTACTTGTCATTTCAGTTGTCTCTAGCAATAATCTGTACCATTTTTCAGTATTTTGATGTTTCTATTGTCTATTTGGTATTTTGTTTTATTATTGGCACCAATGCTTTTATAAGCAAAAAGGGGCATACATAAATAAACTTTCTTGTAATCTCTTGAACCCAACCACTGGCTTCCCCTTCTTCTATTTTCCATATTTAAAAGTCTGGTTAAGTAAAAATGTATTTTTCTGTCAGTCGAAATAGGAAGCTAACCTGACCTCACTTGACACTGTATTATAAAACCTATCAAGAAGGGGCACTCTTGTATTCTCTCGAGACATACAGTATTTCTGATGAAACGAAGACCAAGAGAAAGGTTTTCCAAGAAGATCATAATGTCAGGACAGGTTGTCATAGAATACATGATCCTCCAGATAGCCTGGTCCAAAATCATGGAAGGGTCCCCAGAGCATAACGAACCCTTTGGAACAGACAGTAACCTTCTTTAAACAAGGGAGTCATATACTCTCTATAACTAGCCTTCGATCAGATGTGATACTCTCTGTGGCTAGGTTCACACAACATGCTAGACTAGGTTACCAAGGGATTGGGTAATCTGTGATTCAGGTGTTAAGGAAACCTGCAGTTTTCATAACATCATGAATGACATTGTCTCAATACAGTTTACTTGTTAGGCTGTGTTACATGAACACAACAATTGCAGAGTGTTGAATGAACCCATTCTAAAGTGAAAAGATTTGAGTGAGAACATGCTATATTGGCCTTAGTTCTTTGGCACTGGGTGTTTGTGTGAATTGTGTTGCTTTTTTGTCTGTCTGTTTTGCTTTTGGGCTTTTCACTATATGTAAACCACTCAGAGTTACAGCTGTGAGCTGGACACACATATAAATCATTTAAATTAATACATGTGTAAATAAACTATGTTGGGATGTATTATCTGGGAATTCTGAGAGGTGTCATCCCAACTCATTCAGAAGGCATCAGGTTGGGAAAAGCTGTGACAGATAACAACTTTACGCAGAGTCGTTTAATTTAAAATAAATGATGATATCCACACATACACCCCCACCCCCCAACACTCCGATCTGTTTGACTCTCACCCTGATGATTTTCTGGAAGTAGTTAAAAACTTGGCAGTTTTCCCTGGCCTTGGATTACGGTGCTTGTAAGTTGTGTTCAGTGTTATAGAGTGTTTGTTTGTCTGAATACATAGGCTCTTCTTTTTGTTCTTTCCTATTTTTTTAAAATATAAGTCACCCAGATTTGTTCTGAAGTCAAGTGGCCTCTAAATCTTAGTAATAACAAAACAACAAAAATAACGTTGGAGAAAGGGAATGGATAAGGACGAAGCCAGACTCACACATGCAGCGAACAAGTATATAAAATGCTGTTTATTGCTATACAAGCATAGCGCATAGTGTATTTACAAGAATTTTAGGGAATAAGGGTTTATGTATATCTATCTACCTATGGCAGGGTTTCTCAACTTTGGCAGCTTTCAGGTGGGTGGACT